GTTGACCAGCATTATCGTGCGCATTTTTACTGACGGTGGGCGTAGGTTGCAGTTGGTTGGCGAAAATCGGAGAAGCGGCCTGCCCGAGACGGCCCCGATGTCCAAAGCGAAGGGCTAACTAGTCCAAGTGCTGTGTCCTAACTGGTTATTTTGAGTTTGACTTTTCCTCACTGGAACCGTCGGGACATGTAACTGCAATGCCTCTGTCGTAGCAGTCTGCAGATTTTTCGTTTCGTCCGATGTTGAAGTAACCCTCGGAGAGTCAATGCCCAACAACTTAATTCAGGCCCGAAAGATGGAGGTCTGTATAATCGGTGAGGCGGAAAATCTCGATGAGGTGGGCCCATCATCACCGAGCGGTTCAGCTTCCCGGTAAGTGTGAGGTTTCCTCCCAGCTCCAGGTGAGCTTGTATGTTACACTGATGATATTTCGTTAATTTTCTAGATTCGTATTGGAGGCAGAGTCGAGCCGGAACCTGTAACAAGTTAGATAACACCGGGTAAAAAAAGATACGCATTGCGACAAGATGTCTTCAAGCGGGCGACTTCCTACTGAGTGTAGTGGGCGAGGCCCCTTCAGGCCATTTTTGCGCGAGCCCTGAATATCTCTGCAGAATTATTAATGGAAATTTTGACTACACATGTGGGATCCATGGTTCGCGTAAGGACATTAACATGAATATTGCCGTTTTTTGCAAAACCAACGGGGTGTGGTTGGTTTCCTTGGGGACCATCTGTAATTTCGTTGACCTGTAAAAATTACCTCGTACACCAAGTCAGGCTGCGGGAAGTGGGATTGTTCTGAAATTTCTGAAGTGACAACCCTGCATTCTCTTCATTTTGCCTCACTAGCCATATCCGGATTCATGCACCATGCGACGATTTAAGACTAAACGTGAAGGTGAGGCACTTCATTGGACCCTCGGTCGTGGAAGGAATCTAAGCGCCCTTAATTTGTTGTTCATCCCGGCGTGTTTGATGAAATCATCACCAGCTCTTTTGGCAACTTTGAGACACTGGTGGTCAATACTGAACAAGGAACAAGGTTACTACATAATTCAGCCAAGACTTTGATGGAATTTGCGAAACCAAGGCTGGGAGGAAGTTTCAGGAGATATGAAACTCGCTCAGATATCCTCACAACCCGTGGCAAAGTTTGAAATATCCGTACGCCATCCAACTGAGCGGGCTAAGGATGGGAATAGTTCCCATATTTTTTGTACCAACTTTCAAAGGTTATACATCAGTAATTGCACTGCTGAAGCCTCCGTAAACTACGTCGGTCGCTGATTTGAAATTGCTTGAAGTTGTTCGGGCTGTCACTAGCAAGTGCATCTGGTACGTTGGCCCTTGGTTCCCTGCTTCACCCACTACGGCATATCGAAAGGCATGGTGGCCTAAGATGAGCTTTATGCAAGCTAAATAAATTTAATGTGGTTGTACTCACGGATTAACCACAGAATGTTCTACAAGCCCACGTTATAATCTTTGTGAGGGGTCGAAATGCACTGGAGAATGAACACTCCTTCCTGATTGGCCACACACTCTGACCAATCAAGACACGAGTCGTTCGTTCCACGAAGTCCTCGCGGCACATTTGTGGGTGGTGTTAAGTCGTTTATAGCCTCTCGTCTCCAGACGGGGTCGAACGCTTCAGCTGATCTCCTGCAACACATCCCATAAAGGCAACGCATGTCCTGAATTGGAATATAGACCATAATTGTCCGTCGGAGGGCGAGATAAATTGCAAAACATCCCTGCTAGACTATAACAGGATATCAGGCCCGGATGGTTTGCACGCAGTCTACTTCAAAGAAGGGGAGAATTTCTGATTATGTTTCTGAAAATTTTTCTTGGTACTGTATGGTGTGAAGAAAAAGTGCCCCTCAGAAACTTGAGGTTACTCAGTGGTAAAGGTGCGGAATTAGTGGCCTTATAGTTTGTGGTTCGAACCCAACCTCAGCCTCTCGACTGTTCCTGTCTAGGCTCGAGCAACCTTGCAGTGCCGGAGCCCTTGTGTTTTCTTTGGACGGCATGGCAGTTGGGCCCCAAACGGGTGTTATGGTTGGACGGACGCCTGCCTGGGGCACATCAAGAGTTATTCCTGTCCTCGAAAATGTATGCGAACACTGTGTGAAAACCACCGTGGTATTACCCCGCTGGCGATGGCGTTGAATGTGCTCTCAGGTCTTATCCTCCAAAAGTCGGCTAAATTCACAGACAAACGGATGTGTGAAGGCTAAACTGGGTTCTACCACGCAGGAGAATGTGAATAACATTTTCATCCCCTGATAGACGTTGGAACAGCGACATTGCTTCCAGCAACCAACAATGATGCTCTTGCTTGCTCTGACCTGCCTTTGACCTTATGAAACATCATGTCTGTGGAACAAATGTGTTCGCACCCAATTCTTGACTACCCTCAGAGCGCTGTACGCGAACTCCCGTGGACACATGAAGGTCTTCGGGAAGCTGTCGTCTGTGTTCATTACATCAAGTTATATCGGGTAAGGCTGTCCTCTTCCATTGTTCTTATTCAACTTCGTCATTGGTATGATTATGAAAGATTCACTCGCAGCCTCTAAGGCCTGTGGGGTCGAAATATCCCTAGGACGTTCGAACGATCGCTCACAGATACGGAGTACCCAGACGACACAGCTCTTTTTGGGACTGACGCCATCATTATGACAGTGATCACTTTCAGCCACCTCGCCCGTGGAACAGACAACTATTTAAATTCCATAGAATGGCTTGGTTATTGCCATCAACATATGGCGTTCTTTCCCTTGTTATCTTTATCTCTTTTGAACAGAGCTGTAGCAGCGCGTACAACTACAATTCCCACAGGTCCCTCACCCAAGTCCTTCTGACCTATTTAGCTGTCAACCACCTAGCCGTCGCTTCATACGTAAACTTCTGCCCAGTGAAGTGAATAAAAACAAACCTTATTAATTTTGGGAACCTTATCCCACACTGCTGCTTCCAACATCAATAATCTGTCAAGTTGCTCAACCGATACCTCTTGCTCAGGCCTTGTCCTTCTGTCATTCTCTCTCCGAAGCGAGCATATAAGGCCCCAGTTCTGTCATACATGGCATGTCGCTGCAGAGGGAACCAGGTTTTCTCCAATTTACTCTTCGGGGTCCTGGTGGTATTGATGCACTAGCTTGTGGCATCTACGCTGTGGGAGTTGTGCTTAGCCCCAGGACTGAAGGCTTAGTGGATTGGCTCCCGAGACTCGGTTTTCTTTGCGTGTGTAGGTTAACTGGTTAAATTAAGGTAAGTGCATCTTGATGCGGTAAACGGTGCTTGTTTGTTGTGTATCCCTATCCTCGGTAAACGAAGCTGGAACACCACATTTCGATGCAGGGCTCGTGAGCTGACCAGCAGAACAAAAATCCAGTTTCTTGCTGCCTGCTGCGTTCTGCCTGGTCATTTTGCCGCGTGCTGATTCCGTCGTCCCTTGAGCTCCCATTTGAGAATTATCACTCAGGTAAATGTTTTCTTAGTAACCCTGAGCCCACAGTAAGCGAAAAAAGCAGACACTAAGCTGCAGATTCCAAGTTCTCCGTCCTGACTTCAATAGGATTTTCAACTACAGCTGCTCATTCCGTCCAAAACATCGCGCGTCAAACCATGGCAAAATCACACAGTGTCCACTTTTGCGCCGAACCACCCGCCGTTACTAGCTGTCAGAAAAGCTGACCAGGACACCGAAGGGCAAAGACGTCAGGGGAGGTGGCCCAACGGTTGGAGCGCGAATTTACTGACTGGAAGGTCCGTGGTTCGAACCCGACCTTTGCCTCTCGGCTTTCCCTGTCTAGGTTTGGGCAACCTGGCAGTATCCCAGCCCTCGTATTTCCTTTGGGTGATCTGGCAGCCAAGCACCGAAGGGTTCTACGGCTGAATGACTATCTACTACTACACTACTAAAGACGCCAGAAAATACGCAGCGCCGTTGGGTTTACTGTCGTAAATATACTGACGGGGAAACCTGACCCACATACATCTAGGTTGTTTCCGTCCAAGTGGTCCTAACAGTGCCTGTTGGTGGTTCATTCGCTTCAGTACGTAACCAAGAATAAATATCCGCAGTATTCTTCAGTGCAAAAAACGCCACAATGCTGCTGCATCTACTGCCCGGGTCACGGAGTCCTCGGACTAAAAACCCAGATGAAACGGCGTGCTACTGGCTCAACTACGACGACTGGAAGTTCAGCGGGGGCTTGCTGAAAATCAGCGACAGAAAATTAGGACAGATGTTCACGCCTCCCCAGTTTTAAAGGAATTGGGTAACTGATACTCGGGGCTACCTTGATGTTTGTCCATTTGGTTACTCAAATACTCGGGGCTTGGCGTATCCACCGAATTAGATCTCGGCCCAACGGCAGTCGATGCCACTCTCCGTATAATGTTTTAATTGCTAAACGTAACTTGTGACTTTCGCGAAGCGTGCCGGAAACCCTCTCAACCCGCGGACATCAAGGAATAAACAGTCTATCAGGACCGGACTTCTAGCTGTTAACCACGTAGCGTGCTGCTAAACTAACGCCCCCGAGTTACACATAATACACACCGAACTATTTTTATAGGTTTTATAGGATTGATGGGTTTGTGTGGAGCGATAGGCCTGGCTTTTCACATCCTATAAAAGGTAATAATTTCGGATGTCGGTGTTTCGGGCGTCTCTGTTGGTTTGGTCAACTATGTAACGCAACTCTTTCCGGTGTTTAGAGGCTGTTACCGTTGGGATAAAGGCACTGTAGTTAGGTTTCTGTTGTGTACGACGAGGGTCAGAGTGCAACGACAATCAGAATGGCAATGGAAAAGACGTAGGGCCCGAAAGCTAGGCTTTATTCGTCCAAAACTTTGACACTGAGAGCTGAAAACGGAAGAAAGTGATTTAGCAATAAACGATGAAGCGTTTGAAAAACAGAGCAAATATACAACATTCACCCCCCGCAGAGATGAAAGTTCTCAAGAGTTTAATTTATGATTGAATAATGTCAGGCCTCTCTGTTGCGCAGGACATACGGCCGTGTCCGCTGTTGTTGTATAACCAATGGGTGTTCAGATGAATTCGACATTTCACTTTCCGAAGCAGAGTCAGATAGTTCCGGCTTATTAAATGAATCAGCGTTGGACTCCGGTTGCTGCTGTTCGGATGCTGGAGCACATCCGAAATCTGCTGAAGGCGCCAGGTGTCGTAAGGAGACCGTTTCTTCCATGCCGTTAGGGCGTCTGACATATGCGTACTCAGGGTTACATTCCAGGAGCTCGACCTCTTCGACTAGGGGGTCGTACTTTGAAGATCGTGTGTTTCGCCGCATCAAAACTGGTCCTGGGGAAAGCAACCACTGTGGCAAGGACGT